TTTCTTTCTTTCTTTCTTTCTTTCTTTCTTTCTTTCTTTCTTTCTTTTTTTTTTTCAGATCCTTGCTGTAACGCTTTCAACCTTAGCAAAGAAACTTCTGTCAGAGGTCGTCAATTTCTCAGAAGTGGGAAAATTAGGTTGAGTGGAGTTGAGATGGCATGGGTCCCTGAACAGCTCACTTGATGCTCCTATTCATCTCTGCTCATTTCTCTGAGAGGAAAGGGCAGAGAAGAGATATTTTTTGTGTTAAGAACACATTATGAGATGCAGAATTGCTTTAGGAGATTGGCTGAAGAGGCGGAGAAGGCTAGGGAGTGCTGCCAAATGCAGATGGCAGGAGCTTGCAGATCCAGGTGGGACAGGCAGGGGATGGGGTGAGGTTTCTGAACCCCCAGCAAAGCATGATCGAATGAGCTACCCTGACATTCCTGTCTCTCCATACCTTCACAGTTTGCTGACTTTGGTCTACCTTGTGTCTGAATGACTATTTCCAGGGTTTTCACTGTCACCCTGCTTTGCGGCGCTTGGCATGGCTTAGGTTGCCACGGTGATGTTGCAGATAAGACAACCCTCTCCTGCCCCCCCCCACGTGTTATTCCATCTCCCCAAGATCTGGACCTCCCAACTTCTCTTCGCACACTCAACCACACTCCTGAGCAGCCTCCTCCCGGGTCAAGCTGACATGGCCCTTCACTTCATTTGTCTGACCCACTGCTGCTTCCAAACTCTCCCCTTCAGCTCTCATTCCACGACTGCTGTCTTCAGCCTGCCTCCATGTCGCTGTCTGGAAATACCATAGCTCCCATCACTGTGACTGTTTCTGCTAATTTGAACATATGCACAGACAATTCTGACATCACAGCGTCGTAGCACCTCCACTACCTGGGACCTTTCCTCCATCCAGCACACACACATTGTTGACATCATGTAGTCAGTGGCCCACTGGAAATATGTGTGTGTGTGTGTGTGTGTGTGTGTGTGTGTGTATGCATGTATTCAGGACACACACACACAGAGTCATCTTTACTTAGGAATCTTTTGAATATTTTTTAAGTGCTGGGGTTAAAACCAAGCACCCTATGCCGGTCAAGTACTCTGCCACTGAGCCACATCTTGGACCTTTGGGTTTGTAGGTTTATTTTATATTTTGAGACCCAGTCTCATCAGGCTGACCAGTCGGGCCTTGAATTTGTGATCCTCCTGTCCCAGCCTCCTGCACTCCCCTGTCCATCTCTGAATTCTCTTTTGCATGCATGTGTATTTTATAAGCTAATAGACGAGTCTTTGGCAGAGGACATGAAGTTCCATCAAGGTCCCTCCTCTTCATTGTAGTGCACACCCACATCTAGTATTGATTTTTATTTTTTATTTTTTTTTTTGCAAGCAAAGGCATAGTAGAGGATAGCCCCACCACGGACCCAGAGACTCCCCATCACATGATCAGAAAATGTCCGTGTAATTTTTAAAAATATTTATTTAAGCAACTCCTACATTCTCATGACAAAAAAAAAAAAAAAAAAAAAGAGAAAGAAATGTATGGATAATTACAGAGGTCTAATGAGCAATATAAACAAACTTCTCATAAAAGCTCAATTCAAACCTGTAGTAAGAGCTGTACTCTCTTCTGGATATACGTTTTGGAAACAACTGTCAAAAAACTGTCAAAATTCTTCAGCACGTGCAAAAACAATGCAGTATTTGAACCCAACCTGCAACTTGATAGTCAGATTTTTAACTGGCAAATTTTGAATCACTTAAACCACCAAAAGCGAAGAATGTAAACCGTGCATGCGTTCCCCCAAGCTCTACCCAAGCCCTGCCCGCCACCCCCTTACGCCCCCCAAAGAGGATGGTCCCAAGAATCAGTAAAGCGGCGTTTGCCACTCTCTGCTCCAAACTCAGTTCCGGGGCTGCGAGTTGAACTCTGTACAAATATTCTGGATGATCCTGGGCACGAATTTGTGGAGGTTGTCAAACTCATCCACAAAGAAGGAATGCTCCCTGGCAGGGTGGGTGGCTATTATCTCCAGCTCGTCCTGAGCAGCCCACGCGATGCCTACTGCGTACGTGATCACCCCTGTGGAGATAAAGATGGGATGAGGCAAACGTCCCCAGGCAAAGGCACTAATAATGGATATTTTTCTTCCGGGCTCCCCATATCCGAAATGTGCCAAAGAAAACAAATGAGAGAACCCCAGCCAGGCGGGCAGATGGCCACCCAGGTCCTCCAGGGGGCATAGTTCTTACTACGTTTTCAGACTGAATCTCAGAGTTGGGCGCTAAGACTGTGCAACCCCATGCCATTGCCTGTCTCTCCAATGCCATAGCATCTAGTGCCATCTGCTGGCTCCCGGGGGCACTGCATGCATGGGGGGCACAGACACACATGCAGACAAAGCATCTACTGCTACCAAATAAAAACAAATAAACCTATAAAAGCATAAGAATACTCTAAAAGGCAACCCAAATTACGAGGAGGCCCAGAACTACAAAACCAACCAAGGTTTCACTGTGTAGCCTGGAACTTGCTATGTCCACCAGGCTGACCTCAAACTCACAGAGGTTTGTCCACCTCTGCCTCTGGAGTACTGAGATTAAAGCTTGAGCCTCCACGTCTGCCTCTTGGTTTAACTTATTATCACTTAAGGTTTTCCTCCTGCTGTTTTATTTCCAGAGCACTTTTCAGAACAACAGTTACACATCCATGGCTTGTACAGGACAGTCTTAAGTGTGATTGAGTTTTATAAATATTTATAAAAATATTCGGTTCATCTTCCATGCTTTTAAAACCTTTGGTTGGTTTCTTAAGGCTTTTACACTTTGTTTATGTGAGCATGCATGTGACACAGCTCGTGTGTGTGTGTGTGTGTGTGTGTGCGCGCGCGCCACACCCTGAGCATGTGGAAAGAGGACTACTGTGTTTTGTCAGTTCTCTCATTGCACCTTTTAGTAGGTTTGGGAGATCGAATTCCTGTCGTCAGGCTTTCACAACATGTGCTTTTGCCCACTGAGCCACCTCTCTAGCCCTCTTAGGAAAATGTGGATGGAAATATCTTTTTAAATGTTTTGAATCAAAATTTCCCTCAAGCCCCAAGATCTGTAGAACATTTGTGGTGGTTTGAATATAAATGGTCCCATAGACTCAGAGGAAGTGGCATTATATGAGGTGTGGCCTTGTTGGAGTGGGTGTGGTCTCATTGGAGTGGGTGTGGCTTTGTTGGAGGAGGACTGCGGCTTGGGTCAGGCTTTGGGGTTTCAGAAGCTCAAGAAAGGCCTAGTGTCCCAGTCTTTTCCTGCTGCCTGTAGATCAAGATGCAGAACTCTCAGCTCCATGTCTGCCTGTGTGCTGTCGGGATGATAGTGGACTAAACCTCTAAAATTGTAAGCCAGCCCCAATTAAATGCTTTCCTTTCTAAGAGATACTGGGTCGTGGTGTCTCTTCACAGCGATAGAAACTCTAAGACAGGAGTCATTAACAAAAATCATATTTTTCATCTAGGTGTGGTGGCCTGTGCTTATAATCCCAGCATTTGGAGGCTGAGGCAGGAGGATGTAGTGTCTGAGGCTAGCCTGAGTCGTATAGAAAAAGCCTCCCTAGGGGAGAAAAGCAAAAAGCAAGCATTCGCCTCCAACGCTTACATTTCTTTAAAAACATTATTGTTCTATAAAAGGTTCTGAGCCACCATGTGGTCCTGGGAACTGAAACCAGGTCCTCTGCGAGAGCAGCAAGAGTTCCTAACTACTGAGCCGTCCAACCAGTTCCTCCCTGTGCACCAAGGACACGGGTCTCCCACCCCTTCAAGAAGCGCCCCTTTGCCCACGTTTACAGCGGGCGTACTCACCCTTCTGGTAGGCCGCCATGGCTGGGATCCGCACGTCATCGTAGGACCTGCCGTCGGTGATGAGGATCATCACCTTCCTCTTGTTCGGTTTGGATTTACTGAAGAGCTGTTCCAGGGCATACTGGATGGCAGCCCCCGTGCTGGTGCCCCCGCTCCAGTACCCCACCCTCTTGATGGCACTGAGGACGTCAATTTTGCTGTTATACTTGTCGAACCCAAACTCCAGCCGCTGCTCGTAGGTGTACTGCACGGCCCCGACGCGCGTGTCTGTGTCTGAGATCTCAAACTCCTTGCTGAGGTTGGCCACGAACTGCAGGACTGTGCGGAAGTTGCTCGTGCCCACGCTGCTGGAGCCGTCAATGACGAAGCCGATGTCGGCAGAGTTTAAACAGGTCTTGCTGCAGGCCAGGCGGTCCGTGTCACACACCCGCTTCACCAGCGGCTGCACCGTCTTGTGAAGGCTGAACCAGCTCTGCACGTTGAAGGAGTAGAAGCCATTTGTTCTGCACACCGCCTGGAAGAGAGAACCGAAGGATGCGGGGAAGGTCAGGGGGTCAAGTCCTTCAGCCTGCAGGCTTGACAAGACGTGCTTCCTGGATTAGACTTCAGAGGGCACTTTGTCTATTCCGGTTTCCTGGCTGGGTTCCACTGAGGTCAAGACCCCACCAGTAATGTCTGGACTCGCTCCTGCCCCTCTCAGCTGGATCTCTCCCTCCGTGAAAAATGGTCGGATGAGCAGATTCACAGGTTGCTGTGTATGGTTGGCTTTAGGTTCATATTTATGCCTCTGCTGGCTCCTCGACTCCCCTGTCCTGGAAACCAGCTATAAGAGTGGCATCTGTGGGTACCAGCCATCACGGGGAGAACTAAAGAAAGCTATTGCTCTGACACATGACAGGCCTGTTTCCATGGCAGCCCTGAACCATACTGGAAGGGCTTCATAGGCACTGAGTGGCCACGTGCACTGGAGTCACACTAGATGCTCTCATGGTCTCTTATTTGGTTCCCACTCCTCATCCTGCAACATGGACCCCTCCTCACGGAACAAGGGGACAGCTGTGAAGGCCATCGCTGAGTCCCTGAGACCAGAACATCTGCCATTAAATTCCAAGCTCTGCCTGTCATACAACCCTGCCTCCAGGCAAATGAGTGTTTACTTGTTTGTGCTCAAGTTTGTTCCAGAAAAAAAAAAGGGGGGGGGGGCAGCACATAAATTCCTAGCAAGCTGGTTAGGATTTTTTAGAAGTGACTAGGCTCGTGTCTTGGAAGTGGTGAAGGAGTTGGATCCCACCGACTTCTGAGGATTTGTCAGACTTCACAACTGCAAATGAACTTGTGTAACGACAAAATTATTTTAAGCAAGAAGTAACTTAGGTTTTTTCCTAGGAAATATTGTTTAATTGATTTATAAAAACCTAAGTGGGGTTCATGAAACTTTCCACAGCCTAGGCAGATGACTGCCGGGACAGAGCTGAGTCCTGGCTAGCCGGTGCAGAGGAGGAGAGCCACCAGACAGCCTGGGTAAAGCCATGGCAGGAGACAGTGACGGTGCTGGCTGTGCACAGGAGACCGATTTGGCTGGAACACAGTGTGTGTGGAGGTCACAGCTGGCTGACCAGGAAGGGAGGCTGGGGCCTCTTTCCAGGGTGCCTTAGCTGCAGCAGGTAATGGTGAAGGATTTGAGCAAGGGCCCTGGAAGACTCACCGGATGCTTCAGAGTAAGCTGGGGAGAGTCTAAGGAGGAATGGGCCTGTGACACAGTACCATCTTAGGCCGGGGGGGGGGGGGGGGGGGGGGGGGGGGGGGGGGGGGAGCTGGGAGCTTGGTTTAGGGCTGGATAACACAGAGGGTGAGAGCTGTGATGTGGGATCCAGGAGTAATTCTGGGATGCCACTGCCATTGAACCATCCAGGAGTATCATAGCAACATGACCATTCTGATCTGGGAAGTATAGGCTTCCTTTTTCGTTTGTTTGTTTGTCAGATGGATTCACTGTAGTATGTGCCTGTGTGTAAGTGTGTGTGTGTGTGTGCATGTGTGTGGATGTGAGCCTGTGTGCATACATGCATGGATGGGCACTCGTGTGTGTGTGTGTGTGTGTGTGTGTGTGTGTGTGTGTGTGTGTGTGAAGTCTTTGTGGCTGTTTGGTTGGGTCCCCTGTTGCTGTGAGAGGCTCAAGGTAGGTTTAAGTGAGACTCTTAGGGCAATGCTCTTGCCCGTGCTGGCTGTGCAACGAGAATGAAGTTCGTCTTTCAAAGGGCAATACCAGGTTTCCCCACGGGAGGCCCCACTGCCTACTCACGAGTTTCACGTACATTTGAAGGCCCTAGGAAACAGCTCTGTGGTCACTGGAGCTTTTCAGAGTGTAGAGGCTCCTGCCCTTGAGTGGGTCCCGGGACAGTTATGTACCTTGATGGCAAAGTTGGGCTCCACCACGTTCTGCTTCTCACTTTCAGCAGCCCCTTCGACGGTGATGAAGAAGACATTGATCCCTGACTCTCTGGCCACTCGAGACACCTCTTCCACTTTGTCTGTGGGCCAGCCATCCACCAGGACCACAAGCACATTGGGAGCACCACCCCTGTTTCCGTTTGCTTTGGAAAAGAAGTTCTTGGTGACAAAGGAAATGGCGCGGCCTGGAAGAAAAAGAAAATTTGTGCTTGTGGTGACTATGAAGAACAGGTCTTAGCAGCACAAAAAGGCGTAGACAAAGATACTTATTCCCTTTCTGGTTGATGTGTATGAGAAGGGAGGTCACTCAAGGTCCTGGGGCCTAGAGTTCCAGCAGTCTGCCCCAGCTGAGTGCCACAGTCATGAGGAATAATGGAGTCTCCAGCATGCATCTTTCATGTGTGTATTTTACACTGTGCAAAGCTCTCTGGACATTTCCAACTAGCTCAATCCACTGCCCCAGTTCCCCGGAACTTTCCTAGTTTTATCATTGCATGTCCTAGGTCCTCCTGGGCATACTGAAATGGCTGGCTGCTTTTGAGTTAGCATGGCTGCATAGAGCATGGCTCTTAACTTAGATTCTATGGGTCCTGAGAGAGTGTGTGTGTATCCCCTGAAGAGAGCTTTTGTTCATATGAATATATAAAAAAATCTAGGAGATTCTAGAAGATTCTCAAATGGGTTCTCATTTCAGTATCAGTTCAAATCACCTTGTTTAGACTCTAGAATGAACACAGTGTCACAATGTCAGTACTCTTCTGGGTTTGGTCAGCCTGGATCTCCTGGGCTGTCTTAACTGTCAGTTGAAAGCAACAGGCTTTCAAGGCTGCTGGAGAAACGTCTTAGATAACCCCTGTGAACTAGCTGCAGAGACCCCGTCGTTAAGGCAAAACCATGACTGTTGAGAACTCAAGACTCAAAGCACCCAGTAGTCTCCTCCAGCATAATATTAAGCACCCAGAGTTAAGTGTGTAAGTTGTAGAAAGCCATAAGATGTCACCTGACCCCATCCAATCTTAAATATGGAGGCCGAAGTGAATCAGAGTTTAACACACACTCCATCCACCTTGAACCAGGAGGCTGACAGCTGAAAGCTGAGTTGCCCATAGGCCCTTGTGCCTGTTCTTCCAGCTTCATCTTAGTCCCCTAAGTTGACACATGTGATGGATCTAGAAGACGAAAGCCAGGGAGGAGCTGTGACTTCGTTTTCTGCCCTTTCTGCTGATGAGACTGTGGTGGATTTGGCTTCTCAGCACTGGGTTTGACTGGTGGCTTTGATGATGGTGCCAAGATGGTAAAGGTGGAGCCTGCTTTTTTTTTTTTTTTTTTTTTTTAAGTGAGAATGGGAAATGTAGGGCATAGTGCTAGATCAGTGAGCCATCATCATGACAACTGGCTGGCACAAGTTCATGAGAAGGTCTTGTTGACATAATTCTGATCTTGGAAGAGGTTACAGCCCCCTTTCTGTCCCCTGTTCGGCACAACACCTTGAGAAGCCGTTCTGAATGCTCGGGCTAAAGAGTGCTTCTTCAGCCATTGTGATGTTCCTCCATAGACCAAAGGCCCGTGTGCCTCAGTCAGCTACATAGATTGTTTCTGGAACTCCTGCATGATGCAGAGGCAGAGTGAGGACATATCACCCTCTGAAAATGTATAGCAACAAGGTTAGAACCCCTTTCTGACCTCATCAGGGAGGTGAACTGCCGGGAGCCAAGGCCAGCTAGTGGAAAGTTACAGACAGCTGCAACAGGGTCGTAGGTGAGAGATTTACCTTTCCGGAACCTATGAGACATCTGTGCGTCAGGCTAGACATTTTGAGATATCTTAGCTGACATTCTTGTAGTATCTCTTTTAGTAAACATTCTTGCGGTGTTCTGCATCATCATTAATCACCCTGTTATGTTTTGTAAACTATTTTGCTGACACATTTTCCCTTCCTGCCTTCTCCCTATAAAGCTGTGTGAAATTTTTCAAATAAACGAGAGCGAGATCAGATTATAGACTTGCTCTCACTCTTTGTGTCTCCTTGTCTCTATTTCATTCTTTTCACCCCTCCTTAGGAACTCGTTGAACTTCCGCTGGATGGGACAGTGAACGCCTGGCCAAAGTTTCTCATTGAAATTTGGCTTGTGTAAGCAATAAACTGGACACACATATGCAATCCCCATCACCGTGTGTATGGTGCAGATAACGTGGATTTACAGACATGGATACAGTGTCTTGGCCTGTGGTGCACTGCAGCAAAGGATTCTGCATTTGCCAGATACTAGTGTTCTGGTCGCTAGAGAGAGATGAGAGGGAGGACACTAATTACTCAGACTTGTTATAACGCCAAAGATGCTCCGTGAAAGTTAGTCCTGCTCGTTGCTTTATTCCACACAAACCACTGTAAATTCCTTTGGCCTTTAATGGCTGGAAGTTTCCTGAAAGCACAACCATCCTTTGCCCAAGTCTTCGGGCAGGACTGAAGGAACGGAAACATTCCTTCTTGTCCAGCCTTCTCTGGGTGAACAGGTAAAATGGAACTTCTGGAGCTGTCCCACTGAGAACTAGATCTTGGATGTCCTCCTCAGGCTCAGACACCACAGGAAACTCATCTTCAAACGCAGGACTTGCCTCTCTTGGCAAAGTCACCACTACGACAAATTTGATGGAAACAAGACCCCCGAAAGGGACCTCTTGAGTGGAACTGGTGACCGAATTTAGTGCTAAATTCGGTTGGCAGCCTATAGGCCAACCATACAGTGGTCACAGAAGCTGTCCTGCTAGGCCTGAGAAATGTGGCTGAAACCGAAAGGACCAAATGGGTAGGAACTCTGAGGAACAAGCAATTTGACCATTCTTGTACCTGAATCCATGGGAATACATTAGAAAAGATACAGAGGCTGTATGTCATCTCTTGATGGATCATTTCCCTCTCCTCCTCCAGTACAGAATATTATAAGACAGCCACATAGAAGGTGTGCCATGGCAACAAGGTGGAATTACGTGAATCTGGGTCACATACCTACATTAGACAGGCCTCCTCGCTGGGTAATTTTCTCAATAGCTGTCTTCAGATCTTGAGAATTCATGTGAGTTTTGAGGTTAAACTGGGTAGCAGGGTTGTCTCTAAAGAGAACAAGAAATCAAAGTTAACTAGAAAGTTGTTCCATTCGGAGGAAGGCAGACATCACGGTTGATCCCTTCATATACAAGTAAAACAGGTGCTGTGACAGAGCCCGAGGATGTGCTCATGAGGCGTTCCTCAGAGGACAAGGTGGGGATGAGACAGGGAGGCTGAGGTCCTCCACAGGGAACACAGAGACGGCAGGCCGCTTGGGACAGGCCTGCAAGGTTTCAGTTCTACTTCGGACTGTGTCACAGCTGCACAAACTTTCTGTTTCTTCTTAGAGCAGGGAGAAAGGTTCTCGTTAGTTATTTCCTCCGGAACGGAGTTGCCTTTCCTTTTATTGATTTTGTTGTCTGATAACATCTTACGTGTATATGTGCATGTGATGACCATCTTCCCTCCTCTGCCCCCTCTCACTGCCACCCACAGCCCCTGTTCAGTCTTTACTGCTCCATTTTCCACATTCATGACTTCTGCTTTGGTTTGACATCCGTTAGACATGTCTACTGGCTCGGTGGGGTCATTGGAGATTGCACAAGTCAAGACAATGACGTCTCCACTCCCAGGGTCTATCAGTCTAGCTGTGCGATCTTGAGGAGTCGTTTAACTCGTTGGGTTCCAGCTTCCTCACAGAGATCAAAGCATAGTAACGATCGCATTGCTAAGGTCCAGTGAGATTCTGCCATAGAAAGGAACCAGTGAGCTCTCAATGTCTCCAGATTGCCTAGACCCTCTGTAGTAAGGCTCTCACCTGCTGGCCACTCTGTGGGTGACCAGACAGTCTCGCCTGTTAGCCATGCCCTGTGTGGCCCCTAGCACTGGAACCAATTACCAATAGTGGTGCCAGGAAGACCACTATACCTGTCTCATCTTGTGACTCCTGCAACTAGGTGACATGACTGGAATCTCACCAGAAGGTCAATGTCGCCTCTCTGAGGGCTGAAAAAAGGCAGCTGGAACAGATCTGGAGTGAGTTCACTGGTGAGGCAGAATAAGGACCCTTCTCCAGAGACAACTATGCATGTGTGGGAGAGCAATGAGAACAGGCTTGAACTGTCAGGCAGAGGGTGTGGGGGAGTGCCAGAGGAGTGAAGTCTCTGCCAGGCGTGTGTGCGCCTTCGGTCACGGTGCAGCAAGGACTGAGGTCACGTCACTGGGGGCACTGACACTCAGCCACAGGCAGAGCAGACCCCTGGTACACACCCCGGGCAACCGCCTAGGGCTGCGTGCTTCAAACGAGTCCTTGCTTGGTTTAACAATGCCTTCATCTTGAAACTCTCTGTTTCTGGACCAGGGAGCCTGCACACCACAGAGCCAGGTCCTACAGGCGGTGGGACCAAGTCCTCAAGAGCAGGGGAGTCTTTTAAAGGTGTGTCCACAAACACCGGGAACCCAGCCCTGCACCTGGTTGGACAGTTTGGGGTGAGAACTGTGCCCTGGCGGGGCGTTCTTAGCACGTCCTTGGGATTCCAGTGTGGTCCACAGGGAACTAGTCATCAGGCTTCAGAGAAAGGAGGCCGACACCACCTCCACCTCCTTCCCATCCCTCTTCCTTCCCTGTTTCCAACTTTCCTCCCTGTCTCAAGCTGATCTTAGCTCTGCCAGGAAGGTGTGCTTACCTAAGCGGCAGGTTGACAGCAATCTGCAGGGCCCGCCATCTTCTGGGCGCTTCAGTAAGTGCTGTTTTCGCCTCCAGCCACGGACCTCAAACCCTGTACTTAATCTCTTCCACCCCTCCATCCATTCATCGTTTCCCAGCCGTTCTGCTCACCTTAACTTTTATTCCTTATTCTCTTACGAACTTCTATTAGCTGCGGCAGTGGCGGCGTTAGCATCTGCCAGATCCTTCTGCCTGTAAGACTGCTCTGCTCAAAATCCTCAGGGGCTCTGGATGTAGAACAGTGGTGGAGAATGTACAAAGCAGCAAAGCTAGGGGCTTGATCCACAGCATGGAAGTTAGCTCATGCCTGGTTAGCATGTGTTAGGCTCTGGGCATGGTCCCCGGAGTCAAGAATGAATGAGTGAATGAACGAATGAATGAAGCTTCTTGCTGTGGTTTGGATATTGTTTTGAGTTCACATGTTGGGACATTCGTCCCTAGGGTGGCAGTGGTAAGGGATCATGAGGTCTTTATGAGTGCAGGCCTAGTGAGGTGTGCTGAAGCCACTTGGGAATGGCACTTGCAAGGAACTGTGACTTTGGTGGGAGCCTTGAGCACCTATGAGTCATCACAAGAGTGAGGTTGAACTCTGAATTGCTCCCTGGCATACTGACGGGCAATGTGATGCCCCATTGGCTTGTACTCTTGCTATCTTCCCAGGGGTCCTACCAGACATGAGTTCATGCTGGTACCCTGCCCTTGCACCCCACAACATGATATTTCCTTCAAAGATTAGCCATTTTACCATGCTAAGAAAACGTACTCCCATTGTTAGACTTCATATTTTGGTTGTCAAAGCATTCATGATTTAATCACAACTTACCAATGAATTCTCCTTTTCTTTCTCTTTTCATTCGCTCACTCACTCATTCATTCGTTCATTCATTCATTCATTTTAGGATTCCCTGTATTCTAGTGAAATACTGAGTAGTCTCTTTCAGTTTTCTATTTTTGTATCTGTTTTCTTCTTTCACCCCCCCCCCCCCAGCTCCGGCTGACTCCAACTCTCTCTAATTCGTACCAAATCACAGAGTGCCTGGTGCATAGAGGTCCTCAGGGGCAGTACCAAAGAAACAACATTCCTCGTCCCATTTCTGAGCATCTCTCCTCTGGGTTCCTGGGTGATGACCCCCCTCCCCCCCACCATCATGCACATTTTCTCAACTTGTTAATAGCGGTCAGCACGCTGGCGAGTTCCCTCTCTTGAAGCCCAGGTATACATGCAATGGCTTCCACACATCTCCATTGGAAGGGACCTCAGGTTTGGTAGCTCCAAACTGAAGGCATTTCTCCTTATTGTCTGCTCTGCTCAACTCGACTCCTCCTCTGTACCCCTTGACTCAGGGAATTCATTGTCATTCTCCTCACCAAATGCCACATCAAACCCATCTCTTACCGTCTCTCATAGCTCCTCCCATCCTTTCCCAGCTTTGGATTTCCAGTCTCTTTACTGAGCGACTAAGGTTCTGTTTGGATCTGGCCTGTCTTTCGAAAGCTCACGTGTTGAAACTGGCTCTCATTCGTGGCATTACTAGAAGTTAAAACCCGAGGCAATGGGAGGACCTAGGTCACTGGGAGCAGGCCGTCGACGGGAGTGTGGGGAATAAGACTGTCGGTAAAAATGTCGATCATTTCCTCACGGCTATGCGATGTGACGTAAACTTCTTTGGCTTTTCGCCTCTCATCATTGCAGTCCAGGAGGCTATTGTTTTTCTCCTCTGGGGTGGAGTCACGCCTATGCATGTACTGTGATAACTCTAATTGTCGACTTGATACAACCTAGAATAACCCTGGAAGAGAATCTCAGCGTAGGACTGTCTACACCAGCTCAGCCTAGGAGCATGTCGATGCAGGATTGTTTTGGCTGCCTATGGGGCTCTGTAGTTTCTAACAGTAGGGTGGGTTCGCAGAGTACTAGGCCTGCTCCCATCTATTCTCTGCTCTTGGAGGTGATGAGCTTTCCTGAACTCTTGCCTTGACTTCTCCTCAGGATTGTGCTATAACCAGCTAAAATAAATAACGAGCTAAAATAAATCCTTTTCTTTTAAGTTGCTTGTTCTCAGTGTATTTTATCACAGTGGCGGAAATCAAACCAGAACACATGCCTTCCCACAGAATCACATCCCATCTCCTTTTCTGGTTTTTTAATTTTGTTCTGTTATGTAGCTCTGGCTAGCCTGGAACTCTCTATGTAGACCAGGCTGGCCTTGAACTCACAGAGATCTCCCTGCCTCTGCCTTCCAAGTTTTGTGATGAAAGGTGTGAACCAACAAGCCTAACCTTACTGTTTGCTGTTTGAGTCGGCTCTCGTGAGTTCAAGCTTGTCCCCATCTATTTCACATCTTCATCACACTGTAGAAGTTTCTTATATTTATGGTTGTGAGTCTAGTCTTTAACCACTAAGCCATCTCTCCAGCCCCATAGATGTTTCTTTAGAGCTTTCTGGGGTACACTCACCTCCAGATCAGCAGATTTCCTGTCCTTTTCCCAAAGGGCTAACAAGGTACTGATTCATGAACATTGAGTCCGCAACCGATAGCACTGTAACTCATGGCTACTTCTGCTTTCCTGCAGGTGACTCGTGTTCACCCGTGCTTAACTGCAGGTAACTAATGCCCGCCTGTGCGTGATTACCTGATAAACATGTTTCCGTGAGCCACATGTCAGCTTCATTTTTAAAACAGCAGTCACCAAAGCAAAGCACGCACGCACCAACGTGCGCGTGCACGCGCACACACACAGAGACAGAGAGAGGGAGAGAGAGAGAGCAATAGTAAATTAACTATTAAAATGACTTAAGGAAAGAGCCAAGATGGTAAGCCTGACTGTTACCTCATTCGACTGTGTTTAATCAGGTAACTAAATATTCTCCCCACCTCAGCATATTACCAGAAATGATTGTGAAAGCCTACTAATGTGGTATTAAATGAATGTGCATTTTAATGAGTAAGCCAATTTGCAGATAAATAGATGCACAAATCCTGAGGCTCAGCTGTAACCTCCTGACTTTGGATCCCTAGTCTTAGCGATCATGTAGGAATGCGGAACTGGGGAACGCAGGGGGCAGGCAAGGCCTGTGTCTTCTTCCTTGGCTCTTTTTCTGTATAGCAGAACCTGCTTCCTCAGAGCTCCGCCCCAGTCTCCACTGCTCGAATTGCATCATGCATTCACACCACATACACAAATGCATCTTTAGAGGCACACAGTCCAGCGCTTCATTTACTTGATGAAAAGGTGCTTTTCACTTTATTTAATGTAATTTCTATAAAAATATTGCCTCCTTAGCTAACCTGTGAAGTCCTAAAGAGAAGAAACTCCATCACATATATTTATTATCTT